GGACCTGTGAGCACAAGTTGGTGGTGGGGGTGAGAGAGGTGTTTAGGGAATGTTTGTTCTCAAAGGTAGTGGATAAAGAGAAAGCCATGATGTTTCTCTTTAAAGTCGTGAAAATAAAGTAAGAAAAAAATCAGATTCAGACAGCTCAATATTAGTAATAAAGATACATAACTTAAACCTAGATGCTTATATTTTTTTCGATTTTTTATCTATAAATGTATCTTTTCAATATAGTCTTCTTCAGTACTTGTAATGTTTTGTATGTAAACAAAACCTGAAGGGATTCTATAAACAATGTTGGTTTCCCATGCCTGTGGGAAACCTAGCTATTCAGAAAACAGAGCTGTCACCGTCCACCTGATGGTAGCTGACCCTAATTGTCTTCACCATAATCAAAAATAAAGTGCTGGCCAGCTTACAAAGTGTTGACGACCAATTGTAATGATTGGGAACATATTGCTTTGGATTTTTTTTAAAATGGACTTAGGGAGCTTTGCAAGCAGCTACTTTTATAGCACCGACTAGATAGAGAATAAATGGAGAAAAGTAAAGATAAGAAGCAGTTTGAAGGGAGGGTATAGCTCAGTGGTAGAGTGCGTGCTTAGCATGTAGAAGGTCCTGGGTTCAATTCCCAGTACTCCCTCTAAAAATAAATAAGCCTAATTACTCCCACCCCCCACCAAAAAAAAAATAAAATAAATCGTTTAGAGATAAAGAAGTAGCAATGGATGCAGTTAACAGACTGTGTTGAAAGGGCTCTCGACCTCAGTACCAGTGTCGTGGCCACCGTTGCCAGCTCTGACGAGGAGCTCAGGACAGCCTCGAGATGAGGTAACCTCACTAAATCAAATGGCACCATGGCCTCTTTTCTGCACTGAAAATTCTGGGTCTAGGACTAAAATAAGAAAACTTCTACAAATTATTTTAGGGCTTGTCAGGTCTTTACAGGACATTGAGGAGGAGTTCTCTGTGATCCCACCCAGCCCTCATCATGTTAATTATTTTATCCAATTCCTGGACATAAGTTAATTATGCATTTATTTTTCTTCTCTGGGTCCTGATTTTCTGTTTGTTTTTCCTGTGAGTTTGTTCTTCTCCCCAGACTGTCAGCAGAGAAGTCAAGGACTGTCCATTCTACTACTTTGTGAGGCTGTATGTAGCAAAGTCATTAACAGCATGGCTTTTAGAGGGAAATTGTTGTTTTCAAACCCTGGCTCTGCTAGCTTTGTGGTCTAGGAGCTAGGATTGGGGTGAGGTGAGCAGGACCCTCACCTTGGGTGCAAAATTTAAGGGAGTGCCCCCAAAATTAGTAACCAAGGTATATATCTCAATAAAATATTTGTAAAAATCAAAATTAAGGGGAAATCCATGATGAACAAAATGTTAAGTTTTGAAATAAATGCAGGCTGTTGTTTGTTTGGAGACTCTGCTATGCTGTTCCAAGAACAGAATTTCCCAGTCCGCCTGTGGCTCCTGGGCCTTCGTGGCATCTTGCCTCCCACGAGTGTGTGTATGTCGGTTGACAATGGCAGGAGAAAGGACTGAGGAATGCATGGCTTTAAGTAGTCGTTCTCCAAAAACTTTAATTGTAGAATTTTTATTAACTTTTTCCACTGAGTCAAAATATGGGAGGATATTTTGATAAGTGCATAAAAGGGCACACATTCTCCTTTTGTCTCAGAATTCAGTGTAACCTTGGATACATTGCCTGGCCTCAGGTTTCATTCCGTCATGCATAGTCAGCCTCCTGTTTCCGTGAGGTGCTGAATAGCAGCATGGCACCTGTAGTCAGTCTGTATTAAAAACATATCTTTAAAGGTTTAGTTTTAGGACTCTCCATAATTCTTCAGTTTAGCCGGGCAGATAGTGAACACTCATGAATTCATAGCAGGTTAACCAGTTGAGGCTGAAGGACAGTAAGTAGTAACCAAATATCTATTAAATGTTATGACTTACGGAGATGTATTATATACATTAACTAGTTCAATCTACATTCCTCATTAAATCATAAAGCTCCAAGTTGAAAGTCCCGAAGTTTTAGAAATATTTATTAATATTTTAAAAGTCGTCAAAATAATTTCTTTGAAGAACAAGGAGAGAAAAGAAAAACTGGCAAGAATAAAGACTCTGTAATAAGACCCCCTACCAGTCTGTTTCCCGCAGAACAGGTTACCTGAGATCATTATTATCAGGTAGGAGCTGAGGTATGTTTTCTGACCCCTATTACCAAAGGTAGGTCAGTATAACATAAAAAGGCTTCTTTCAGTCAGCAAACTGTTCACACCTCTGTAATCTCCCATCTGTATAAGGGCCTGAAATTTCTTTTAAATTTTTCATTCCCAAATCCAGAAAAAAAATTTATATGTTTCTTGGTTTGGTTTTATCAATACATCTTGATTCTTATTTGTCCTTTATTTGATGCTGTGACTTAAGGGCCTTCGTTGTGTGACCTTTGAGCAAGTTACCTAACCTCAGTTTATTCCAGATTGTTGTAAGGAGTAAATAAGGTCAGGCTTAAAAGAACTTGACACAGTGCCTAAAACACAGGAGTAAATTTAAGCTGTGAATAATAAGAATATAAAAATTCAGTAGTGGTGATAGCATAATATTAGAATTGTCTCTTCCTCTCCCAGCTCTAGACATTTCTTTGTTTGCCTGCAATGCTGTTTTTCACTTTTCCTCCCATTTGCTTCGTAAAAGTAGCCACTCATGTGCAGTTTCCCACCTCAGCCCCTTTTATATCTGGGGACTCTAGGATCTCTTGGCATCTCCAGCTACAGGTTACAGGGCACACTTTGCAACTAATCCATCTTTCCCAACAAAGAAAGAAAGCCCTCCTCTACAGCAGTGAAATGCCCAGAAAAGAAACAAAAAACCCAGTGCATAATTTAAAAAAAATATTTTCTCCATCAATTAAACCACCCTGGCCAGTCACCCCAGCTACACAATAAAGGAAAAAGCAGTTTTCACACCAGTCTCTTAGCCTCTGACTGCCCTTGCTCCCACAACAAAGTGACAGATGAAAATGTTCCAAATATCGTCATTTACTGCAAGACCAAGAAACATTTGAGCTCCAAGATTCTCACAAAAACAGTCTCTGTGCATAAAATAAGAGCTATAAAACTTAGCTTGTGCTGAAGGACCTGCAGGGGGAGCCTGCTTCCTTAATCACTGGCCCAAGATCTGCAGAAGCTGACTAAAATGCCTTCCTCTTTCTTCTGCTGCCACCACTCAATACTTCTGCTCCTTTAGGGGCCCCTTACGTCTCCAGAACATAAGTGCTCTCCCTTTAATTTTCTGTGCCCTTCCGCATTAGGAAGACAGCATCACAGACTCTTAGATCCTTTATGTGGGTATAAAGGTGCGTACTTTGCTTCAGGAGTGAGTCTGAAGCAGGGTGTGATTCTCTGCAGATGGTACCGTCTGTACGTCCGTAGAGAAAGCTGGTACCAGTCCTCGCCATATACTCATTTGAAGAGTTGTGTCTCACACAAGAGTTCCTACCCAGTAGGTCCTGGGGGCATTTATAGAAACTGTTTAAAAAGTCTGCCTTCCTGTTTCTGCCAGTTCTGCTCCTGGCCCATACTGGAATTCCCTCCCTCACCTGGCTTCCCTTCTTTTGCTCTGAATCTGGCTCACTTTTTAAACTACAGATTTCGAGTCACAGGCCTTTGTTTTTCTTATTTCATGACTTCTTCCACATCCAGGGCATTCCTGTTCACCCTCCTCCTTGTCAGTTCCCTCGTTTCCCCTGAGCCCTGTGCACAATGATTCATCCATTGTTTAGAGTCAGACCAATGGTTCTCAGCCCTGGCTCCTCTGAGTCTCAGCCCTGGCTCCTCTGAGGACCTTTGAAAAAACAAGCATGCCGTGGGATGAGAGTCATCCCAGAATGACTGCATTAGAATCTCCACAGCAGAAGCTTGTGTATCAGGATGTGTTCAGAGCAACTCAGTTGAAAATACTGAGTTATACTGAAGGACTATGAGGACATCACCCTTCCTCCATCCCTGTGCCCCTCGGAGTCCCCTCACTAGGCCCTTGGTCAGCACTTCTACTGACATTGACCAACACTGTGACACCCCCGGACCTTGTCCATGACGTTCAGGGAAAGGCAAGAATAATGAGGGCTCTTCTTCACAGACCCAGAAAGACATGGACTAGAGGAACAAAGAACTCCAGTCACACTCTGATCTCCAAAATTCAGATGAGCATTTAACAGCCCACTATGCATCCTCTTTGAAGGTCACAAACACAGAAATAAGGGGAGAAGGGTGAGGACCACGACCAGGCTGAGGGAAGGAGGTACCAAGGATGCGAAATTTAAGGAGGCACTCACTTCACGTGCCCACCCTGTACTACCAGGACCCTGAGAGTCAGTGCCTCTTTAAATTTTGCACCCAAGCAGTCTTCTCTATACCCCCTTCTAGTCCTGGCTTCTGAGGGGAGCTAAAATAAAGGCATGCTAGGAAGAGAGGATGACTGTAATCATCCAGTTCAGTGAAGATTTGATAAGGAAAACTGATACAGCCTTGTGAGCACGTCTTAGCACTGAGATGTCAGAACTTGAAATAAGAATTACAATCTGACGTTAACTCCCGGTGCTGTGCCCCCCAAATCCCACCCCTGTTGTACAGCATATGGACGGTTATGAAGGAGAAGATTCAGTCAGAAGAGCAGCAAGTTTCTATGTGTGTGGGAGAGAATGACAGCAATTTGTAAGTGAAAGTCAAGTGTAATGGTATTTTCTCCAGTAACATGCTCAATATTTCTTAATTTCACTTCTTCATCATCTCTGTTGTTACAAAATGTAAATGAATTAATGCATGTGGAACACCTAGTTCAGAGCTGGCACGACTGAGCACTCAAAGCTGGTAACCGTTTTGTCTCATCAGGAGGACAGTGGAACTCAGGAAACACTTATTACCCGAGATCACCCCATCAGCAATTCCACGCTATTTAAAGACAGAGTCAAGCTAGGTACAGACTACGCACTCTACCTCTCTCCAGTCCAGATCCACGATGATGACCGGAAGTTCTCTTGCCATGTTGAAGTCAGGCCTGGCAGAATCTTGAGGAGCTTCACCACGGTCAAGGTTTTCGGTAAGAGTTTCCGTTCTCTGGACTCCCTGCTGTGTTTCTGTCAATGCCTCCTGCTTCCTTCCCCTAGGGAGGAAGCAGCCTGCTAGCTGGAGAGCCGGGACACAAGGCTTGCTATTCTGGAGTTCTGTCTGCCTTGACACTTGTCATTCACGTTGGGTGGGGATGAAGGTAGAATGCTGAAGAATGATGTTTCACTTAGTAGAGTAAGATCCTATAGAAAGCCAGAGGTCAGTCAGTTTCCTGGTACCTTATGTGCAATTTTGATGTCTCCTAAGAATCCTGGAAGTCTCCTTAATTATAACTGCCAAAGTCTAATTCCTTAGCCATCTAATTGTCTTAGTTGCTTGCTGGGGCAACATGGAATAAGGCCAGTGTGAGAATAGGACGAAGATAAACACAGCTCCAGAGAAACTCTGCAGGAGTGCCCTCACCCCGACCAGGGCCAGCTGGGGTGAGAGACTGTCCAGCTCCTCCAGCAAAGGAACCTGCAGGGGTGGCCCTCTGACCCTGCATTCGCAGGAGAGTGGAGCTTAGCTGAACTCCCCACTGTGGCTGCAATCAAATTGCAGAGGCTCTGCACGGTGCAAATTTAAGGGAAATGTGAGAATTCTATTTTGCTCAGTGATGCAAGGAAATATTAATAAACAGAAACCCCTGGATTTGGATATTTTTTATCTTTGTGACGAAGAATTGTGTTTTTTTAAAACATGATTTTTAAATAAAGGCAGAGAGGAAAACAGTGATGTGGGTGAGCAATTAATTGTTTTTGAAAATGAGATAAAGAGAAGATAATTCACAAAACCTAAGAGCAGGGGCTGCTGGATTTCTTTCCTCAGTTCTCTGAATGACAGGATAAGTGAAAAATCTTTGCTTTTACTTAGAATCTTACTGCATTTTTATTAGAGGTCACACAATTCAGTATCTTGAAGGAAACACAAACCCTTTAGTTCATAAAGATGGGAATAATACAGCCAACGTTTATTTAGTTGGAAGTCTTGCTGATAGCTTTTCCCATCTCTCTCTCCGGCTCTCACTCTCTTCCTCCTGCCCTCCCTCCCTTTCTCCTTCCTTCCCTCCCTCCCTCTTTCTCCATCTCTCCTCGGGCATGGGCTAGGAAATAATTGATTGCCCCTGATGTCAGGTTCCTTATGGAGACTAAACAACATCCTGTGAAGAGTTGGAAAGACTGTTCCCCCCTTTTACTGAGACCACCATTCGCTCACTTACAGGGTGTGACTGTCTCAGCACAAACATGAAACTGACTCATCTGGCGTGACTATTGGCAAATCGATGAAGGCAGCCATCCAGGATGCGAGAAGAAATAATTCTGTGTTAGGCAAACTGTGTCCCATTTGACCAAGGGTTTTTTACCATAACTTGATCTAATTGCCTTGTAAACATTTAAACCGTGTCCTGAATCTCTTTGCTGCATGTGAATACCTTCATCTTGGTCTGGAATCCTTTACACTCTCATCCTTATCACCTTGTCTCTGCATTTTTCTATTTCTGTTTGCTTCTTCTCTGAACTCCTTTCAGTGGATGTTTGAAAATATGAGACTCTGCCCACCTGTTCATAGAATTGGATTCTTCCTGCTTCCTGGCTTTCTCCTTTAGCAGGTGGGCCAGGGTGTGTTTGGGCTGTCTCATCCAGCTTTACTCTATTTGGGGGTGTCACCCGACTGTACATTATAGCGATCCTGGCACAGCGGTATAATTCCTATCTTATTTAGGACCTACTCTGCATCCCTGGGTCATTCCTCAAATAGAATAAGCCAAAAATAAAAACATGAAAACCTTGAGATAAATACTCAAGTGTATCACAAAGCCATTCTGCATGCCCTACATCCAGTTTACTGCTTCTTCCTGAACGCCTTCATTCTCTGATGGACCAGGGACCAGAAGCTTCCCCTTGCCACTTCCTGCATCCCCCTCACATCTCCTCTGACTTCCCTTTCCTTAGTGGGGAGTCGTCTGCCATCACAAGTTTGCTCGCCTGCACTCTTGAGCTCTAAACATAGTTGTCCTGAGCCCCCCAAAGAATCTGTCTCTATCACCCCTGCAACTTTTAGTAATTGTTCTTTCTTTCAGGTCTTTCAGCCTACTGGCATTTGTTGCTAATAGGAGATCAGAAACAGCCCTCCTTCTGTTACTGTTTTAGGTTGTACCTTGGTTTGGGTTCCCCTGAAAGAAAACTCTGAGCAAAGATTTGAGTTAAGTTAATTTATTTGAGAGGTAGTCCTAGGAAATATAGAAGAGTGGGAAAGTGTGTCAAGGAAGGGAAGGAAGGTAATAAAATATACATGATCCAGCCAGTTATCACTGTGGACTTAGGGCTCATTCCCACCAGGGAAGCTCTGGGAGAACACACGTCAGCGTTACCCCAAGGAAGCTGGGGTGTTATCTCCAACTCCCCATCTGTCGTCACCATGAACTCTCTGTGGTTTCCAGTCTGCTCTGCTTGTGGACTGTGTGTTCCCATAGCCCCAGTAAATCTTCAGGAGAGCGTCACAGGTATGCCCAGTGAGACGCCTTAGTACGCAGAAACCGAGTGGATGTGACGGACACTGACTGCACCTGTGATGGGGGTCTCATGTTTTCTCCCCTGGTTCATGGAGGGCTTTGTTCGCTGTGCTCAAGAACTTACTTGAAGCCACTTCAGGTCAACGTGATGTTCTCACTGTCTGTGCTGGGCACTGCTAAGTGCTAGAGATGGAGAAATGAATAAAGTACTCTGGCTCTCAGGCACTTACAGTCTAGCAGGACAAAAAGAAGATTGCTGAAATCTTCCCTATTTTATAGTGCCAGGCAGCTAAACAATAATAAAGTGTTCCTCCTGTCCTCGTCAGGGGCCTGTAACTTACGTTCTATTTCTAGACCTTTGGACACATAGAATACTTCTCTCTTCTCTCTCTCCCCACTGCCAGCCCCTTCTCTCCTCCACTTCCTCATTTCCTGACTCTCCATAGTCGTCAGTCAAGTTTCAGTTAGATGCCACTTCTTCCAAAAGCCTCCTCTTATTCTGCAAGGTTGGGTTTGGAAGCTTCTCCTAAAAGCTTTCTTCAAATACTACGTGTCCTTAGTAACGGTACTTACACCCATGCATTCTAATTCCTAGTTGATGCATCTGTATTTTCATGAAAATGTAAGTTTCTTGAGGATGATGAATATGATCTGTTCACCTCTGTTTCCTAGGCATCTAGTGTATTCCTGGCACGTGGTGGGAGTTTAATAAATATTTGATGAGTTATGAATTTTTCACACACACACACACACACGCACACACATACACACACTAGTGACGAGGTAGAGTAGCATTCAGTGCCATATAACTAACTGTGTTTTATTTGCCTTTAAGCTAAGCCAGAAACCCCTATGATTGTGGAAAATAATTCCATGGATGTCTTCGGAGAGGTAAGTCACATTAAAGCTTTTGAAAATCTACAGCATAATGTGCCAAGGTGTGTCAGTTTGCATCCTTGCCCAGAATGTTGTCTCAAAGGACTTTACTCCAATTAATGTCTGGGGCGGGGGGAATGAAGGAACGCTGAGTTGATTGTAGAATCCAAATAGGAATCCTTATTTTCTGATTTAGGGCTCTCAGAACATGTGATCTTGTGATCCTTAGTTCTTAAATTTCCTGGAAAAATTATCTCAGTTGTTTAAATGTCTGTTTAATAAAAATTGAAGCCTATAGTGTTGGAAAAGTAGGGCAGAAAGCAGTGTGAATCCTGGTGTAAGAATGAGGTTTTTTGCTAAGCTGACATTTAATTTGTTCTAATTCATTTCCTGTGCCAGCTTTCCCAATGTTTTTATTTTTAAGTGACAAGAGAAACTGTGCCTTCTGAACTTCTTTAGAACCCTGGCTGTATCTTAGGGAGTAGGAGGAAGAGCAGGAGAAAAAGGAAATTAGAATAGGCCCTCTGGCTTCAGTTTCCTGTAGGTAGTTCCCAGCCTCTTGCCTCTGGGATCTGGGCTCGTGTCCTGGCTCTTCCTCTTGCTGGCTGTGACCTGAGACTACTTACTTTACACTTTTGTAGTCAGTTTTCCCGTCTATCTGAAGGGAGTTAAGGAAAGTAATCTGCAGTTGTTGTTTTTAAGAATGAAACAAAATAATGTATGAAAAGTTCTTAGTATATTGTTTGCTGTATATTACGTGCTCAATAAGCATTTTTGTTGTCATTTCTATTATGTGTGTTATTCAGTTGTCTTGTGACATTGTGACTTCATTCAAACTTTTCAAAACTGCAAGTGGAATAAAGATTCTCATTAATTCTCAAACATTTCCTATTATGTGGGATGAGAAAAAATTAAACTCATATTCTAGTTTCTTCTAGCCCCAAGAACATTAAATAATTTATGATTTCTGGTCATATTTTCACTGAGTATCAGTCATGTAATTTGACGGCTGCATACAAATCACAGCTCAGACTCTGTGGTGTGGTTTTACATGAGTGTGTTATTCAGGTCCTTGTGTCTTTTGTTGACTTTATGTATTAGTTTCCTGGATTAATTGTTACTGTCATCCTGAGTACATAGGAAAGATTTCAGGGTTTTTTCTGGCACAATTAATTTTCAAGTTTATTAGTGGACTTCATTTCAACAGTTTAAATGAAACAAATATTCTAATGATATAATGTTTGGAAAGTATTTTTGTTTCTTGTAAAGATTTTTGGTAGGTTCTTGGGCCAGTATTTTCAGGTAATATGGACTCAGTCCAGATAGAGAACCACAGGATTGGATCCAAGAATTCCAGTTTTTTGGGTTTTTTTTTTAAAGGATTTTGTCTTCTGTATCATCAGATTTCCTCTTCTGTACCTATGCTTCCCTAGGCTCTGACTAGTAAAACCAGGGAACTTTCCTTCCTGGGGAATTAGTGAATAATCTCTCACCAACTCCACATAACCAGCTACAGGACACAGCTTGTCTGTGGATCTTTTAAGACCTTGCCAAACATTAGTAATTTCTCACTCTGATAGTCGTATAATTCGCACTGTATTTTGAATAATTTATTAACTCTTCAAAGCGCCTTTGCATACTTTTACCATGTAGTATTCCCACAATAAGCCTCTGAAGTAGGTAGAGCGTTTGTCATTTCACAGATGAGAATCCGGGGCCTGGAAAGTCTAAACCACTGGCTGAGCCACTCACAAAGGGCAGAGCTGGGATGAGAACTCAGCACGCCCATATCCCAGCAGGAGGGCATGACGAAAGGACATCATGCTTCAGGGGCAGATGGAACTAAGATCAAATCCCAGTTTAACCACTTAATAGTTACTTAGCCTCATCAAGTAGTTAAGCTCTATGTGTCCCAACTAACTCATCTCTAAAACTGGGATCATGATAAATAATCCACAGGGCTCTTAGATGAATTAAATTTATGCACAGTGGTGGAGTACATAGCTCATTGTTGATGTCTCAGAAATGTTTTTTCCCTCCTCACTATTTATCATTCACTCACTCTGTCACTTACTCCTTTCTCTGCATGTATATTCATAAATCTATTATGTGATTGATTCTAGGAAATGGGGTGGGGGTGGATAATGAAAAAACAGAACATAGATTATGGAATCTTATAGACCTGGGTCTGAATTCTCCTCTGTCACTATTAACTCTGAGCCCTGGACCTCAGCTTCTTAGCTTCCTCATCAGTGAACAGGGACAGTGAGCTCAACCTTACAATGGTGACATAAGGATCAAATGAGATACTGTAGGCAAAGTATCTACCATCTGGCAACCATAAGTGTTCAGTAACGGTAATCCCCTAGAATTACCTCCCTTCATCCCTTAGAAATTAACCAAGTCAACATGCACATATTGGATGCCTACTAGGGGCTACATATATATTCACTGCACCAAGCCCTCAGTGTTAGGACAATAGGGATTTGATCAGCTGGGAACCGTGTCTTCCAACATCATTAATTAAAGTTGCAAAGCTTATGGTTAGTTTCCCTGTAGAATAGAAAACCTCCCCAAACCATTCTAACAATGATGCCTTTCAGGCTTAGACACGCTAGGGATGTCCAAGGAGAGTATCACCCCTTTGGATGTCATGTTGTTGCATGTTTCCGACGGTTTGGCTTTGCCGAGGCTCCGACGTGGCGTGCAGCCTCGCTCCCACAGCTCGATGGAAAGGGAGTCTTTATTTACCCTAAGCCCCAGGCCCCCATGTGGCAGGTTGTTGCAGTGGAGCAAAAGATGCTGGGCCAGAAAGCCCCTCAGTCGTGGCCTCCAGCCGCCGTGCCCCACTCTGAGGATACAGCAGAGGAAGGCATGCGAGACATCCAGGAAAGCGCCACAGCACAGCCCTTCCCGGAGCCACATGCGTCCTTTCCAGTGCCTGTGCTTTCACTCCATCAGCTCCTTGTCACTCTCTTAACTTTATTATGTTTGACAAAATTTAGAAGAAAAAAGTCCAAAGAAAACTACCTCTCATGAAACATAGGAAACAAAAGCAGATGGAGCTGAAATGTCTAAACAGGATGAGAGGCTCAAATAACAAGAACCATGGAAAACAGACGCCATGACCTAAAACCCCATGTCAGAGTTCAGCAGGACAGCTCCAGTCGCTATTTACAGAATTTGATTATTTCTGTTTATTTAATTTTGGTTTTGCAAAGCCTGAGTTTTTGTGGATTCCCTAACCTTCTTAAGTTCCATTCCCCCCCCCGCCCCCGTGTATGTGTGTGTGTGTGTATTAGGTATTGCAGCCTCTTTTTCTGCAGCATATTTTGTGGCGCAATAAGGCTCTGAGTCCAAATCTCCAACCGTGTGAGTCCCAGCAGCCTCGTCATTTGCAGTGGTGAGCCCCTGAGCTTTCACACAGATGGAGAGGGCCCTACAAGGGGCACCACACCCCTGTGAGGGAACCACAGGGGAAGTGAAATCTTTTCTAGCAGGCAGGTTTCCAGAAAAAAGGGGGATCATGGAACTGCAGTGCAGCCCGGGTTTTTCACAAGCCTGGTGTTTGGACTTGTGTCTGTTCCACAAACAGCTCACAGTGAGGACAGATCTGGCTGTTAGCGCTGCTGATGTATCTGAGAACAAGCAGTAAAAAGGAGCCACGGAGGTGAGGACCACACAAGGCACAGCGCCGTTGTTATACCAGGATCCTGTCTGCTTTCAGGGAGATACGTGCCTGAAAGTACTCGGGCTATCTACAAGATGAGATGCTGTCTTTATCTCCTCTGGTCTTCCTCACCCTCCTCTCCTCCCCACTCCCAACCCAGTTTAAAAATAAATAAATATTAGGTTCCACGGGAATCATCCAAAACAAGTCAGCTTTAGCACAAAGGCCAGAGCAATTTCCAGTTTGGTTTTATTCTTTTCCCGAGTTAACATTTTAAGCATGTCCTCAGCAGCCCAGGGAATTTTTCCCTCCATATGGACTACTGAGTCCCTTTCTTCAAAGCATCTCTGAATATTTAAAGATGAACAGCTTTAAAGAAAAAAAAATCTGAGAACAATGCATTGGCATGCAGTTAGTGTTTTAAAGACAGGAATATAATCTGAAGCCTACTGCTCAAATGAATGAGCGATTTGTATGGTCTACAGGGACAAAAACAAAAGCAGCAAAAGCAGCTTAACTCATTAAAATTGACCTCAGAAGCTAAGAAAATGTTCTGTGTCCTTCACTCTCCCAGACAGTCAAGGTCTCTTACCTTTCCGTGGTGAATTTTTTCTAAGGGGCTGTCCCCTCTTATCTTCACATTTCCTCTCTGCCCTTTTTACTTTTTCACTTTTCTTCCTCTGTTCTTTATTTCTCCCATTTACCCCATCTCTCCACCTTTTTCTTTTTCTTTCTGAGCTTTTTCATCTCTTCCTCACAAACTCCTTCTTTAACAGAGCTTAATAGGGAAACAAATTATGTTAAAATATTTATGAACAAATTTTTATATCCTCTGTTCTTAATGTTTAATTCAAGGGAGTTGTAAAGTCTTTAATTCTCCCTGTGCTGATTCTGCATGAATTACTTACGTGTTTGATTGTTGGCAAGACTTACAAGATTCAAACAGGTTGTACCAATGAAACAGCTTTAATGTAAGCACTGCAGTAATGACAGAAAGATACGCACTGGAAGCATCTGGAGATCTTGGGCTCAAGCTCCTTTGTCCCTACAGCGCTGAGCCCCACAGAACAAGCTTTGTATCCAGTTCTCAAATCAACACCAGCATGTGTGCAAACACCTCTGTCCTAGGAAGCTTAAGCTCTGCTCGTGGCAGGGTCTGAAAGGTGAGTGGGTCACACAGGCACATTTTGGCTACCCAACTAACCTCAACCGTCAAAACCGTCAGCTCCCCACAAACGAAATGCTAGGCACAAATCCTGTTATGTTCACTCATCAGTGCTGACGGGCCAGTACAATCTGCCCCCAAGTGACTCACAGACCCATGGTGGCAAAACAACATTTCTCTTTAGTTAGTATATTTTAAAGTTTTGGTCAGTACAGCTGTAGGAACCGTATAGATAAGCATATGGCCAGTTCAGACCGGCTGAGATTAACCAATACTATGCTCTCTTTCTCCTAGAAACAAAATCCTTCTAACCCACTTTGCTATATACTTAAGCTGGAACTAAAATGGCTCTTTGCTAGGAGTCTAAAGTCAGGGTTTTCAGACTAGGTTCCCCCAACCCCATTTAAACGAAATGGAAGGGGTGCGCTGCTGCAGGCTGCTCTTTGTCCCTCTGGCAGGATTCCTTCTCAGCCCTCATCTTGCGCTTCATCTCCAGGATGGCCCTTTCCACCTCCTCCAGGGCTCGCTCTCTCCTCTCCACAGCCCTCTCCCGCCACTCCACTGCCCTCTCCCTCCTAAGCACCTCCTTTTCTCTTTGGCTGGCCCATAAAGCCAGGGTGCCCACCTGCTCCAGGAGCCTGGCCCAGTCCCCCTCAAGGCCCACGGGGAGCTGGGGCCCCTGAAGCCTGGGGTCCTGGCGCTGCCCGGCCTGACCGTGGCCACTCTTCTCCAGCTCTTCTTTGTGCATGCTTTTCAGATGCTTCCACAGGGCTGTGGTGCCCACGTTAACCCCAGGGCCACGGCTCACCTGCCTACCACACAGGCGGCAGGTGGCGTATTGGTTGGGGTGGTGCCCAACACGGGCAGGAGCCAGGTGGAAGTACTCCCAGGCCTCAGAAAACCGGGTCCCCTTGTTGTGGGGCATTGGGGTGGGCATGGCACTGGCAAAAGGGCCAACCGCTTCTCCTGTCTCACCGACCTCCTCCTCCTCCTTCATTTCTAAGTGCCCTTTTGCCTTCGTCCTGGCTGCCTCCTCCTCCTCCTCTTCCCGCCTCATCCTGTCTCCTTTTACAGCTTTCCTGGAGCCAAAAGTCTGAGTTGAACCACAACGAAGTCTAAATGTGTACTTGGGAAGGGACTGTGGTAACTCCTGTGGATTCACAACAATGGCCAAAGGCTGGCCACACCTGGTAGTGTGATGTTTCCTCCTTTCTGCTTCAGCGGAGAGTCAGGGTGAGTCAGAGCCAAGCAAAATGGCCTGCGAGGCTCTCCTGCGCTCCCTCCATGACCCGGGGACGCCTGAGCCCGCCTTGGCTGGGCCAGAGGACAAAACAAACCAGCGCAGCAGTCACACGGCTCTTCAGTGAACTCGGTGTTCCCTGCGTCAACCAGAACCACAGGGGCTTTTTGACTATTGAAAATTTTAGGCTTTCTCTCGATTCTCCTCCTGGCTGGCTCTTCCTCTGCTCACGGAGACCCAGAAAATGTGACTTGGAGGCAGGAGGAGCAGCCTCAGGACTCAGGCTGTTCAGGACGCCCAGGGCTGGGGCCTCCCTGGGTCTTCCTCAGAGTGGGTAGAAGCCCGGACGGGTGCCGATGTAGGAGAGACTCGTGCTTCCTAAGAACCGTTGCAGTAGGCCGTCCGGAGGCTACAGAGCCTGCCAGGGTCTGGGAGATAAAGTTCTCAGTGTGAGGTCCATTTGTCTCCAGGGAGGTCGCTCTGGGGCTGGGATTCTAAGAACTCCAAACAGCAGGCTTAGCTGTTTTCAGCAGGAGGAACTGGCAAGCAGGGAGGAGAGAGGTGGAGCGCATCCCCATGGACCTGGTCATGCCCAGTTGTCCTCGGCAAGCAGCTCACCAGCCCACCACCTTCCCGGGCACTGTGACCTGCAAAGCCAACAGCTGATGAGACCTTCCTGACAGCAGCTGACTCCAGATGTTTGGCTTATTTACCCCCATTTTAAGGGTAAATAAATAAGTAGGAAATTATGTTACGTTTTAAAAACAGCCTGACTTCTTTCTCCTTTCTTGGGCCATTTCTTAAGTGAATGAGAGCCTTATTTGTCAAGCTGTGCAACCCCGAACAGTTAGGAAACAACCCACCCCCCACCAGCTACAAATGGGTACTTACAGGCGAGCAAGGCTCCGGACTGGTCTCTGGCGGCTCCAGTGCAGGGTGAGAGCTCCTGCCTCCTTAGGTAGCTGTTAGCTGACTCTGGCCTCCAGGAGGAGGGCCCCTCCAGTTCCTGTTCCCTCCCACTTCCAGGGAAGCCGTGTTTCCAAGTGGGCGTGCTTTTCTGCAACCTCTAGACACAAATGCAAACCTTTTCCCCGCCCCTCTCCACCATGGAAAAAGGATGTCCCTGGCAAAAGTCATGCAGTGAAACAGTAAGTCAAGTGCCTACAAGTCTTAGTTCTGTTTCCAGAGGACTAGATCATCTGGCCTCTCAAGCAAAGAAGGAGATTTAAAAGGGGGAAAGTGTGAAATACGGGCAGAGAAAGCACATTCCTCAAGGACATCTGTGGTATCAAGTATTTTGTCCATTTGTTAGACCATGAGTTTCATTTTTAGTTGGAAACTATTGATGTTGTAAATATAGTCAGTAGAAAAGCCAAAGAACTTGAGGAAAAGGGAAAATTAAGTAAAAGAATTTTACCCCCTCAATTTAGAGAAATACAGCAAACTGAGAAACAGACTTGGGATTGCTTTTTATTATATTATGTAACTAGAATTGGAAAAGCCGAAATCTGTTGGCTTCTACTCTCATTTGGAGTTAAATAAAGGGGTAATCACAACTTAATGTATATACATAGACATTTATAGGTACATTTTATACATTTTTGATACATAAATGTATATGTATACACATTTATATATATGAGGGATGTTATATATATATATATATAAAATGTTTAGGAAGGAAAACCTACCAAGAAGAGACAGGCATTTTTTGAAGAAGGTATCTATGGAAGAAAAAACCTTGAGTTATAGGAGAAAATATAGAAATGATAGAGTAGAAAACATATGGAGACTGAAACTTAAATTTCAAATGAAAAATAAGCGTATGGGTATGGGGAGACTCCAAATAGAAATGAGGAGCTGGGAAACAAACTGGGAAACTCTTTTTTTTTTTTTAAGATTTCTCTTTCTATATTGAAAAGTTAATATTTTCAAACTGATTTGGTGAAAAGCCCTTTGGAAAAGGTTCTGTCCAAACTTGAGCCAACTTAGAATGAGGTAACTTGCAAATGGTCCCCAGTGCAGTCTTGCACCTACAGAAATAAGAAAATGACCAGTCTCACAGCCAGACTTGGGTTCGTTTTTCCTGACTCACCAACCTCATCGTGCTCCAACCTCTGCTTCCAGGACAACATCGCCCGCTCACAGTTAAGCCCATGAGCCTTTCCATCTGTCCATCTTTGTGAATCCCCCGCCACTCTCCACCACAGACCACCTGTAGAATCGAGGCCCAGCTCTTCCCTGCCCACGAAATACAATTCTGTTCTATACACTATTCCCAGATTTCACTCTTCTCTTCTCTCCCACAGAATGTCCAAACTTTTTGACACTTACTGCATAATTCTTTGTGCTACTGCTCACTTATTCCATATGTACTTAGAATAATATGTTAGAGAAACCAATTAATTGGCTTGTCTCATGAATGCAACAGGCCCACAATGAGTGAGTGGGTGACTTCTCAGCAGAGGAACGTGTGTGCGTGTGCAGTTGTACGCATGTGCACGTAGACTCTTGTGCATATTGACATCATGTTTTTTTCAAATTTAACATGTTTCTCTTCTTAATCATTTGGGAGTTCCCAAATAAAGACAGCTCTGCCTGCTCAGCAAAACCGTACTGCCTGACGTTTCATAACATGTTTGACTTCAATGTGAACTACTTTAGTCTGCAGCTTTTCAAGTTTAGAGACTAGAGGAGTTTCAGGACCAGGATCATATCCCTAAACAAAGCCTTGGAACACTGTCTGGAGATGGTATAGAATATATGACATCTGAGTTTTTCCATACAATCTGAATTCAGAAAAATCTACAAGAGTTAAAGCTTTTTAACATTTTTATTAGGTTAACAAGAAATTTCTTCAGGGAGCCAATTGCCTTTATAAAATAATGGAACCCCTGCTTGTTCTTGATATTACCATGTCATCATCTTTTGGTGGGGTGGCTGAGCATGGGGAAAATAAATCATGAGAGCAGTTAAAAGTAGTGGCATTAATACACACCTTTATAACATTTCAAAAAAATTTTTCCTATAGCTTTTATATCCCTTCATGGACCACCTGAAGATAAACATTGATCTTTGGCATTTTATTGGATTAAATAACTGAATTCTCTTTCCTTTACTTAATAAGAATATATTTGAGGGGACTTGGTTTTACTTTTGATTTTCTAGGACAGAAAGTGGCATAATTTCATGGATCTGCATTCCTGTCACATGCCTGTGTTGCCACTGTCAAATGTTGAATGAGTGGGAAAACTGGAGGCTGCAGTGTTTGCTACCTACCATTTTGGATATAATAGATAACCTCTTCTGAAAGTCTCGTGATTTCCTCGGGGATTTTGGAATGATGTACTGAGGGATGTTAAACGGCACCTCAGTGGGATCTCGCCAGGAAAATGTGACTTAGTATCCTTACGTTTGGTTTCTCAGTACTGCTCAGGACCAGACCCCGTGGGCAAAGCTTTGTGGGGAAATTGGCACCCCAAACAGTAAATATAGTTTATTGTTCTTTACTAGTTCACTAATATATTCCTCAATTGTGGAAAATATTTGAGAACTAAGAACTAGGCTGCTCATATGTAAGATACACGTCTCTTGATGAGAAAACAAGTAACTATAAATGGGATTATAGTTTTGCAGTGTCTCAAATAAAATAATGAAGATCCAGTAAATCTTACTGGATATTTTCACCAGTCTCTTGAAGAAACCACCATCTCACAAGGAACAAACACAATGGTGGAAATAAAATATGGCTACCCTACCTCTGAGCTTTCTGGTTTTGTAACATAAGCTATCTGTTCTTCTACTTTTTTCTTATTTCCAGGAAATATCTCAGACTGGGATTGAGGTAACACTTCTAACTGATGCCCTCAACAACATTCCACTCCCATTTACCATTCTGTGATTCTGCGCCTTGGTTTCCCCATCTGTCAAGTGGCAATAATGAGGAGTGTCCTACGTTCCCTATAGGATTGTCAAGATGATAAAATAAAAATTAATTAGGAAGACTGTTTACAAGTCAAAAGAGAGGTTTTTATATTAAATGGTTTCTGCAGTTGTTGCTACAAATAGTACTTTATGTTATTTGGAGAATGGAAACAACCGAAGTGTGGCTCTCTTTTACCTTTTGGTGGAACAGAATATTCTTCTCTGCCTGTTACAGCTTCTTCTTTCTGTTCTTTGGTTTCCATTTATACTATTTTATTCTTTCTATGTAGAGATGTGATTTCCCTTTTCCAGATCCCAGAGTCCAGACTTGCAACATTAGTGTAGTCCTAGATTCTTCATAAGTTGATGTAGGATTCTAGCCATTGATTTATAACATCTCTACAGGAGATTGCCTACTTACACTTCACGTTTTACACAACCTCTTAAAGGTGAACAAACGCTGCCTTGTTAAAAGAGGAAAACCTCGTTTTTGTGCCAGTTTGCCTCACGTGCGGGTTGGTGGAGATGTAGGGGGCACCAGTTCCTTCCGAATTTGCAAGTAATTCTTTCTGCATTCTGTCTTTGCCCCCAGAGAACATTTACCTGCTCACTGAGGAATGTATTTCCCACAGCGAATCTTACATGGTTTATAGAGAGAAGCCTCCCTCAAGGTGAAAGAGAAGGTAAGGAAATCAGTCAATGGAAGTGGGTTTGGCAAAGAAAGAAAGAAAACAAAGAACAATAGACGTTACCACTGCCCAAGCTGATCTTGGCATGTAAGAACAATTCTCCTTCCAAGAAAAACATCATCTTGCCTCCCATGTCACTTTCTGATACCTCATCTGGCTCCTCCAAGGAGATGCGAGGTAGCATTTCCCAGAATGTCAGAAATATAGTTGATGTCATCAATTCACATATAAACGCTGTTTTCTTTAACTGTTAGTAAAAGCAGATCTCTTATATGAGGGCAAACACTTTTAAGTCAACACATATGTATTAGTAATTTCATTTCGTTGAATTAGCTTAGCATCACTATGTTAAATCAATGAACAAATAATTTCTACTTTTTCTTACAAGGATCTGGGTGGGGTGGGGGTGAGGAGGGGTGGAGGAAGTGTCATAAAAGACTTGGCTTCATGACAAGGAACCTGTTCACCAGGAGGATTAAAAGTTCCTGGAGCAGGGACACACATCAAGACAGGCTCAGGTGAGAACATACAAAGCCGTATTTTCCATAGGCGGTAAACTCAGCAGCCTCTGCCGGAACCACCCAGCCCCTCCTGCCTGGAACAGCAGCCTTTCTCCTTTCTCCTGAGTCATTTTTCCTCAAAGCTCATACATTTTCAAGAGGAACTGAGTCACATAGCTCTTGCTGCCTTGATATTTTTAATTGATGGAATTTAAAGTTTATGTTGATGAATGATCATCATATTGATCCACTTGATTCATTTTCAGACCATTCCTGGTTTTGTTATTAGGTCACTTTTAAAAGAATTCACCCACAATAGTGACAGGAGGCAACCCTGAAAGTATCTATTACGGGTCATTATACACATATTGTCTTAAATAAGCCCCGATTCGATGTGCCCATTACCCTTGCAACTGTGAGGCCAGACAGTGTACCCAGAAGTTTACTAGCATACAGCTGCATGTAGTTATCACTTTGGCAAGTAGTAACTTCAGAACTAGCATTTAGAACCTTCAATGTGAAGAAGTTGTGAGAGCTTAGAAAGTTCAGACCTATGGTAACAGAGTTTTACATTGATTTCCTGCCACCATCTGTGCTACTGCAAGGTGGTCCGAGCAGTGGCAGTTAAACAGGCTTCTATTTCTAAAGAAGGCTTACAGGACCCACAGTGACAGTGCTTATAAATCTACAGCTTATTTCAGGAAAAGGATACAGTCTAGCAACAATATCCTTAAAGTAAGGATATGAGTCACACGTACACATTTATAGCACCTCAAAGTGGGGGGACCCAAAAGGGATGCTCAGCTGAGGTCGTTTTAAATTTTACTGGTCACTTAGGTATATTCCTGCTACATACCCACATTCAACAGCAGAGTCGTCCCAGACTCTCACCCAGGCCAGGGGCCAATCATCAATCTCACCATGATCAATAAACAAA